GTATTTTGTTATCTTCTCCAGTTCTTTCTCTTCTATTCTGCTGTCTCTAGGCACTGCCACGTCCACTATCCAGACTTTTTTGTCTTTCTTATCGACAATTGTTAAGTCTGGGGTGTTATGTTGCAGGTGCTTGTCTGTTTGAATTCTGAAGTCCCAGAGCAGTTTAATTTTATCATTTTCTATGACTTTCTCTATTTTATGATCCCACCATTTTTTGCTTACAGGAAAATGATATTTTTTGCAGATCTTCCAATGCACCATTGTTGCTACTTTGTCATGCCACTGCTTGTAGTCAGTCTGTGCAATCTTCTTGCAACAGCTTACCAGGTGGCCCACTGTTTCTTCAGCTTCTTTGCATAGGCGGCACTTACTGTCTGTTGCTGTCTTCTCAATTTTGACTTTATATGCATTTGTCCTTAAGGCTTGGTCTTGTGCAGCCAGAATTAGTCCCTCGGTCTCTTTCTTCAATTTTCCTGCTCTTAGCCATTGCTAAGATTATTATTAATATTATTGTTGTTGTTGTTGTTGCTAAGATGATGATGATGATGATGATTAACTCTGCCAGGTCTGTCATATGTTCTGAAAAGTTTTCAACTAAGAGACTATGGCTGTTGTAAGAGAAATATTAGTAGCCTGATAAGCTAAAATAAAACAAGGACAATTCAGTATGATTCATATTCCCATGACAACTACTGCTTGCAGAAAGAAGGTAAACTGCTAGTGCACATTTTATGTGGCTGAGTCATTTGTTGCTTGTTAGCAAACTGCTTGCAATAAATGTAAAGCCTGTTGAGTGGCTTTGTCTCAGAAAGTCACAGCCAATCACAATTTGCCAGAGAATATCCATTATTTTCCTACATGTTAATTAATCAATCAAATTAGTAGTGTCAATAAGAACCCAAGAAAATAAAAGTAAAAAATGATAACACAGGGGCTGCATTTCTAAAAATGTGGGGCAGAGCCAGGACAATACTCTAATTCCATTTAATTTAATTTAGTTTAATTAGTTAATGTTAAATCTAATTAATTAAATTAATGTAATTCATTATGTATTTAATATGCTCCTCCTAGGTTCACACAAAACAAAGCACATGCATTTTAGTTATGATAGAATAAAGAGAGTAAGAGTGGCCAAAGTTATCTGCTATTTAAATTGACTTTTGAGTATGCTCTATAGATAGAAGTATAGCATCCAAAGAACAGATCTCAAGGGACAGGACCCAGGGAAAATCTAAAGTGCTCTAAACGCCTCTCGTTTCTAGTTACTTAGAATCCAGAGATAAGTACTTTAATATCAAGGGAAACATTAAAGTCATTCAGTAACACGCTCTTAATTCTGTCTGCTGATTAATAAATGATGAAAAGAAAAAGTTGATAAAGAATATGACTAAATAATACCATTCATAAATATTAGCACTACAGTATGACTCTGAGGTCTGGAAAATGGTTTAACAAAGGCTACTGTATGCTTTTATTAGGGAAATAAAGAAGACAGATATGTATATCCCCACATATACAGTAAAATAATTTGCAAGAGCAGAAAGAGCCTCTAATCTGATTAGGGCAATCTATACCTGTATGCAGTTGTAAAATCTTTCTTTGGAAAGCTTGAGAGATGCTCTGTTGTAAGTCAAGTGCTATTTTCCTTAAGAGTTTTTCTCCAGATGGAGATGATTTTGCATGTTTATTACAGAAATTCAGGATATCATTTCTACCAAAGCCTCCCTAATCATTTTCTCCTGAAATTTTATTTGATCACTATGAAACTGCACGTACTGTACCATTTACTCAGAATTCTCCATGGTCACAATGTAGAATTTTTTTAAGGTTAAGCAAACTGTTATTTTTTCTGATGAATATCTATGAACCACATTAATAGGTTACCTAATCTAGCAAATTTTGATTTCACAATTTGGTCCAGTACCATTAGCATCATCTGAATTGCTAGAGTTACTATTAGCACTGACATGTATTCTGAACTACAGTATGTTTATAGCAATTAAAGAAAATTGGCATGGCTGCATGTTGGTCAGTAACGTAATTGAAATATATGAATGTTCTAAATGACTTTTTTTCCTTCCTAGTATCTTCCCAGAGATGCAGAGTCTGCTTTTCTGATCAACAGAAGGTTGGATGTGACAGGAATTGACTGGTGCCTTAATTACTAGACCAGATTGGCTCTCTCTTCTAAATTACATATTAAACTTTTCAAATCTGAGATATTATAGATCTACCAAGTATGAAGTATAAGGAAAGGGCCCCAAACTGAATTCATAATCTTGCATTGATTATACGTGTTCACTCTTTGCTTTTGGGCTGGCTTGTTAGCAGTATAATGGAAGGGCTGCTCAATATAATTCCATGAGAGCTAATTTCTACTGTCTTCTGTAACTCAATGGGAGATTATGGTTAGAAAAATGGGGCATAATCAAAGAGATGAAATGAGAAATCATAATGTTCTCCACTAATAAATGCCAAAACAGAAGAAAAGAAAAAGATATCATAGAATATAAAAATTAAAGTAGGATGTACAATAGTAGAATTTGATGAATACTACTTTACATTGTATTTCAACTAATCAGTCATAGATGACTCAGTGATACAATCTCTTCCATTAAGATGATTATAAAAATATATTACATTGGGAGTAAAAATTCCTATTGTAAAATATATGAAATAGCTGAAAATAGTAATCAAGGCAGAATTTGTATCTGGCACCAAAAAAAAAAATAAAGTTAAATATAACTTTTTGAATAGTATTGATCTTTCAAAAAACCTCTGAGCACATTTGCGCAGTGGAAGAGTCATTTCTTTTATTAATAAATATTTTTGAAAGGATAAAGAAAGGCATGCTTATAGTCAGACTAATAGAAATATTGTTCTGGGGCTTCATTATATATCAAAGGAGAATTTTTATGTGCATATTATGTCATTTTACCTAAATGAACATATTTTAGGCTATAACTAATGGTTTTTAAATTAATAAGGACTAGCAAATAATAGCAAAATGATCACTGATTTCAAAACTGCTTTATTTTATCTTATCTTTTTATCATAAAACTGAAGAAATGGCATATAGGTTTATCTGCACCTCATAGAATAACTACAGTACTCTTATACTGAGTGCATAAGATGCATTCAGAATAATATAGGAGTTTAAGTAATAATGACCATGTACAAGGGCATTTCGGAAATAAATCTCCATTTGGTTATCAATGGAGTTTTCCGATGGTCTTAGGAGACCCCTGTGAAAGCGTCGTTCAACCCCCAAAAGGGTCGCGACCCACAGGTTGAGAACTGCTGATCTACCCGTATGCGGGCGAGCATTATTGTGAACCAATACCGCACTGGAAGTCAGCATGCCCTGATGCTTGTTATGGATGGCTCATCTGAGTTTTCGTAAGGTTTCACAGTAGACTTCTGAATTGATGGTCGAACCAAGCTCCAGTAGTACTCCTTTGGCATCTTCACATTTGGTGGAATTTTCTATGGCACCACTTCCAGTGTAGTATTAGTTTATTATAATATTTGCCCGCACACTGCTAGATGCACCCAAGAACTTTTGAAGCAGTTCTGTTGGGATGTTTTTGATCACCCCCCCCCATAGCCCAGATTTGGTGCCAAACGACTACTATTAACGAATTTCAAACCTTATAAGGCATGACAAGTGCCTCAATTTGAAGGGCAATTATGTCAAAAAGTAATGTAAAGTTATAGTTTTCTAATGTGTATAATAAAAGTTCTGTATCTGTGAGTGTCTGTCATTGATAACCAAACGGAGGTTTATTTCCTAATTGCTCTTGTAATATTGGAGCCAGTTTGGTGTAGTGGTTAAGGCACTAGCTGGAAACCAGGGGAATTTGAGTTCTAGTTCTAGTGAGTTCTAGCCTTAGGCACAAAGCCAGTCACTCTCTCCCAGCCCTAGGAAGGTAGGAATGGCAAGCCATTTCAAAAAATCTTGCCAAATAAAATGAAAGGCAGACTCCAGGAGTTAATACTGATTTGAAGTTTCTATTTATTGATTGATTTATCCTGGAATTTACTATCTTTTCCAAAATAATTCAAAATGAAGGGAAGGGGTCTTAGAATTGCTGAGCATATGATAAGAATTTTGTTTTACATTGGAAGGAGGTCACTTAATATTCAGCTTGTCTCCCTTCAAATATGGCAATTCATTTGACCTTTGGACATATGCTTATAAACCTAAGATAAAATCCATGAGGAAAGTACACTGAAATGAATACATGGCCTAATTATACTGTTCCTGGAAAGGATTGCCCATATAAGAGCAAACCTAGGCTTCAATATTTTTCTCCACAAGATACATCAACTTTAAGGAACATCAGGGATTTCCTTCAATGCATAGACAACTATTTGTATTTTAAAAATATTTTTATCCTGCCTTTATTATTGTTATAACTCATATAATACTCCTTTTATTATTTTATTATTTATTACTTTTATAAATAACTCATTCAATACTCCTTTCTCCTATTTTCCTCACAACAAATCTGTGATGTAGCTGGGCTGAGAGAAAATAGCCCAAAGTCACCCAGCTGGTTTTGCATGCCTATGGTAGGACTAGAACTCAGTCTCCTGGTTTCTAGCCTAGAGCTTTAACTGCTACACCAAACTGGGTCTCTAAAAGGTATGTGATTGAAGAGGAAAAGTACATAAGTCAAAAACACATTTCTATATCTCAGTACCCAAAATATATATCATTTGCTGAGGTGGGCAGTTATAGAAATCAAATCAAATCAATCAATCAATCAATCAATCAGCCAGCCAGCCAGCTATAGTTGTATATGGATCATATTTACCAGATCTGCTCTGTGAAAAAAAAGCATTAAATTGTAAATACAGAAAAGTCAGTTTATTTGCTGCTAAGTCATCCAGTGAGATCTTATAGTCCCAACTTTCCAATTTATACTATAATTATATATATCATTGATTTTGCAATTCATAAGCCATAATCTTTTCATTGTTTATTTCATACTTACGTAAAGAACAATATGGTCCCACTTGTTCATACCCAGCACAACAATCTGTCACATTCACAGCTTCTTGCACCATAATAGGATGGTACTCTTCTTTGTAGTAGGTTGTGGTGCACATTTTCCATGGAATCCATCCTCCACATGGTGTTTGTTTCTCATATGATTTTTGATACGCAACTGTTTTGCTCACAATTTTTATCACAGAATAATTGCATAAATGGTAACCGAGCAAAGAGAGACCTTTTTCTAAAATAAAGAAAGGAGAGTGATCTATTAGAATGGAATTAGTGGCATAGAAGGTACCTTTCCATCAAACTACTTTGAAGTAATGAACGTTTTTCAGGTTCACTATTGTAAACATAAGACTTTGTAATCCTTGTAGATTCACAATGCTGAAAAATAAAAGGAAGGACAAGAGAACAATGGTTGGATGCAGTTGCAATGGTAAAAGGTATACACCACTAGAAGAGCTGAAAGATTATATTAGGTACAGATTCATTCAATGGTCACTAAGAGTTGACATTGGCTTGATAACATGTAATCTTTCAATCAATATTTTAATTATTTTGAATATGGTCTAAAGGTCCAGAAGAAAAAATGCAAGATCATGTTTAATCAACAAATGATAAATGTTAGAAGAAACTATCCAAAATCCACTCAGAACCTTCAGGAATGGGGAGCATAAAATAAAGTAAATAAGCATGTAACAATATACCTATGTACAACAAGCCAACCTAGAACTGGCTCAACCATTAAGCAGAATATGGTAATCTCCTAAAGCAGATTATTTGATCAGGATTTTTTTTCCAGATACTTGAGAATCTTTGCTTTCACACACGTGAAACAATTCAGTGGCATATTCTTCTTGATGCTGGCATGTCTGGTACTTGTGAAATTTTCATGATAAATCATTTAGGCTTATTTATTATTACCTGTTTACTATAGATACTCTGATATTCTATTTTGATTGGAGGCCACATTGTTCAAGCCATTCACAAAACAAATTTGCTTTAGTGCAAATGCTATCTGTTTGGAAACATTTTTACTTCTGAATAAATAATGAAGCTAATAATAATTGCAGTCTGAAGTCCTGCTGGCATCAACTAGGATCCAGCAACAAAACCAAGCACTAAAGACAGAGTTTAGAAGTTAGGGCCCAGCTCTCAGAACACTACTGTTCCCCTGGGCAGAATTGCTAAGCAAAATTTGTTTACAAATTAGCATTTTCAGCTGTATAGCTCTTAGTTACAAGACTTAGCTTGCCATTAAGCTAATTTAAAATGTACTTTGGATGGATGCATGCAGTGTAAATGTCTTTCAATTATAAGCTGAATTTTCCACTACCATTACTGGAAATTTATTGGATATTTACAAGGTTTATAATTATTGGCTAATTATCATTTTACCAGCTTAGCTTTTATTATGACATTGATAATCCAGGCAAATACTATGGCTTGAAACTATTGACACTTTAGATCAAGGGTGTCAAACTCGCCACATCACGTGACGTATCGCGACGTATCATGACTTTTTCTGCATTGCCGGAGCTGGGGTGGATGCGGCCTCGGTATGATGCAATCAGCCCGTGGCCAGCAGTTGACACTCCTGCTTTAGATTCATTCATTCATTGTATTGCTCAAGTAATAGTAATAGTGCTAAGATTTTTCTTAAACACACAGTGAAAAACTATAGTTAAATTACTTTTCTAATATACTACAGTATACAGTATATTGTGGTACATTGTAATCAAATCCATACTTTGAATCCATGAATGTAATTTCAAGCAGTAAAATTAAATACAATCCAAATAGTTGATTCAACAGAATAATTATAGAATATAACCTCAATGATTATTGCAATATTTTGGATTTCATTGCACAGTCCCTTTTACAGTTATTAATGGAGAAAAAACAGTGAAGAAAACTTGTCACTACCAAACCATTCAGTAATGGTTAAAGTTGAAAATAAAGATCTACAGCTCCCTATTCCATAACCTCTTTTCACCTCTCTTGAACAAATTAGGAAGAGAAGTTGAAATGCTTACCTTCTAGAATACTAATAGATAGGGAACATTAATTTACAACAAATGGGATAATGCAAGTATTGCAGGGGGAAAATGCGTTCTTTTACCTCTTTCTTAAAATAAGGCAGTCTACCAGAATTGCTTTGTTCATTCTGCTATCTAAGAGAGTTTTATGAAGTGAGAATATGCTAATAAGATTCTAGAACTACAAACAGTAACGGCAAAGCTTTATATCTGGAATCCCAAACAGGTTCTCATGTATCAGGAGATGATGTCCTTTGACATCCTTTGACAACTAACAGGCATCCTAATTTTATTTGTTTGTTAGGTTCTTTTAACTTAAAACAGATTAGATGGAATACTCATCTTGGCAGCCATTTTGTGAGAATACCCATAACATACTCTCAAAATTCTAAATATGTCCACTAGCTCAAAAAATTGGGGATTCCTAAATGATACATACAGAAGTTTCAGCAGAACTAAAGAAAATCTTATCCAAGGTTTACATAGTTCACCTAAAAGGTCTATACAAATTTAGATGAAACAGTCTCACCAAGTTCAGAGAAGAAGACAAAGAATATGAAACAAAAGGTGTTCACATCTGTTTTACAAAGTATCATTATGAGAGAATTGTCATTGACACTCAAGTGTTTGAAATATTAAATCTATGATTAGCATTGGGGTTCTGGATGAATGACCAGCTGCATTATTTGACAAGCATAATCTATGGTTCTAAATTAAAAATCTCCCTGAAGTAAAACTAATATAGTACCATTAGAACTGTAGCATAGTGACTTACCTGTAAAGGTATTGCTTGCGCTCTCTGCTGAAGTGATGCACAGGATGAAAACAAAAGTTACCAAGATTTTACTCAACAAAATAAAGGAGTTCCTCATCATTTTTTATTTGTCTCTGTTCTCTGAAAACAAAAGTGCTGGTAGTGTTACATACAGTTATTAGGATATAAAAGAAAATATTCCCTCTTTTCTCTTTTGTATACAGGTATACATTGGTCCTGGAACAAAGAGAAAACTCAGCCAGTATCTTGCTTGCATGGGTTTGTTAATGATTTCCCAAGGGGCTGCCTGCATCTAAATTACCCATCCTGGTTCACAGCAACCTGTTACACTCATGTACAGAATAACAATCTGGTGAAAACACTCTTACGTGAACTTAAAAACAAGAGAGGATCAAAAGACGGATGAATTGCTTATTAAATTAAATCATTGCATTTTCTCTGAAAGCTCAAGTTAGTGGAAATTGGGGTTTTATTTTATCTGCATAACAGCAAACTATGATGACATGTTAGGCTGAAGAAATGAGGGGATCACATTCACTCAGCAAGCAATATGTCTAAATAGGGACTTAAACTGGGGTTTCTCTCCAAGTCCAGCATCTTCATCACTACATTATACAATACTGGTTCACTGGATTGGAGGATAGCAGCACCCCTTCCTTCCTCTTATGAGGGAGGACTCTTAAACTGCGGAAAAGTCTAGACCAGTGGTTCTCAACCTGTGGGTCGGGACCCCATTTGGGGTCGAACGACCATTTCACGGAGTCGCCAAACAACGCAGTCCACCATTTTTTCCCCTTTTCCTTAGCTGTGCTACTCCCTTTTGTTCTATTGGCTTTTGAAAGCCAATAGAATAGACTCTCTTGAATAGAGTCTAATTCTATTGGCTTTCAAAAGCCAATAGGAATTGTCCCGGCTGTCTCTGCCCTGCTGAGCCTGCCAAAAGTCCCATTCTGCAAACGGTGCTGCACCAGTTGAGTAGTCCTCAACTTATGATCGGTTGGGGATTGCGGCATTAAAAAGGTTGAGAACCACTGGTCTAGACAGAACTAAGCAGGAGAGAAAGAAATAAAATATCGAAAAACTGAAAGGCCAAGATTAAAATTACAAATATGAAAGTGGCTAGGTATTGCACATTTTAGAAGGAGGAAAAGGCTCCAGCTGATTAGGCAACATTGCAAAGTGATTGTGATCCCCCCTCCCAACCTTAGAGGGAAAAGTTGGTAAGTTTTATATTTGTGTAATTTCTACATAAATATAAGAAACTACTTTACAAATTTTCAGCAATCACAATTTCAAGAAAAGCCACAAAAGAAATGGCAGTTAAACCGTGTATTAATCCATTCTCTCATAGCACCATAAATTCTAGAGCACTTATGAAAGTCTTTACAACTTGTTTTCATCTTGATATACATTGGACTAAATATTTAGGTTTTTTTAGTGCTATGCTATAATAAATTTGGCAACTAACTAGAAAAATTAAATGAATTTCTTATATTTCACCATTTTTATTTCAGGACAGGGGACAGGGAATATAGCCACCACAGTCTTTAATATCAGTAATCCAATAATTTTTTCTCTAGAGATGGTAATATGTACTGTCTGTTTCTAACAGCTTCAACATTATCTAGAAAGATTTTGATTCATATAGTGCAATTTTAAGGACTATTTCTGATCAAAGATCACTAACAGAATAATTTTGTTTGAAAGAAGTTAGTTCCTCTGTGTTGAGTGGCACTTTCTCCCTAGGATTATAGTCTTAATGAATGAGTTGGTTCTGCTGCTACTTTATATTTTGTGTGGTCATAATCTCAGTAGCCTTAGGTCTTAGAATCTATGCAAGTATTTTCCACTTGGGACTGTATTTTTGAGAAGTCTTTGGGGATCACATATTTTACCAGCACTTGCTCTCTGCTATCTTTCCCATGATTATAAAAGTATACAATATAAGGAACTAAGTAGAAAATCAACATCTAACGAGCACCTGAGACAACATTTACAAGAAACATTTTGGATTTCAGTTACAGTTCTGACTTGATATTATTAATCCTTCCATATTTTTTTTGTTAATCTAATAAAACACAGGAAAAATTAATAAAATATTCTGATTGTCTTTTCTATTCCCATTCTTAGTTCTGGACACATATACAAATTCAGTCTTGTAAAATAATTTAAGAGATCAAATAAATCTTTAAAGCAATCATATTGGTTGCATTAAAAATAGTTTTTTATATCCCTAGAGGATACTGTGTATTTTATTGCTATGGTAACCATAATGAATCATGCCCTAGTGCCATGGAAACATATCAAGAGTATTCCATTGGGAATTCAAAACAGGTTTTGGAAAAACAGTATCTATATATCTATATTTCAGATATGTTAATATATTCAGTGATTAGGTTGGTGGAGATAAAAATAAGCTGGCATTGTAAAAAAAGAAGAGAAAGTCTCATCTTGGATATCTCAAGTGTTATGGTAAATACATATGAACGTCTAGTAAATATGGGAACAACCATTGTCCCATTTCACAGAGGATAATACTCTGGCTACCTTCTACTCTGATTTAAATATAAGACTGGAAAGCAAAGAAATTCCCCATCAAAAGATAACATTTGGAAGGCAAACTTAGTAAATGCACACACTATACATGTGATCCTCAGGTCATGGTGTGATGTGGTGTTACAGATTGTATATGCCATGTGGGTTTGTGTCTTCTTTTTTCTATATGTATTCATCAACCTAACCACTTATCTACCTCAAATTCGCAAGAAAATCTGTGACTTCTGTTACAATTTTTTGAATTGGACACTCCTTTTCTGTTTTGGCAAAATGCACATAGCCAACATAGTTAAATCTTTTGAATCATCTTCTGATCATTTAAGGCTCTACCTTTAATAAGCCTTATCCTGAGAAACTCCCACAGGATCTTATTAACTTGTTTATTGTTTCTAGCTTCCTGCTTTCGGTTAAAATATATTACATAAACTATTCTTACAAAAACAAAATTAAAGATGTCTTTTTCAAATGCACTATAAATTATGTAGATTTATGGAAAGCCCCTGAGCCACCTGGAATGTCTTGCTTTTGTTTAAAAAATCAAGGACATGTTATTTATATATTTATCTACCAATTTATAAAGTTCCTTCAATTTCCTTCAAAGACTCTTCAAAAGGCAACAAGAGCCAATTTAATGATACATAAAACCCAATAATCTGAAACTATATTACATTATATTACATCATTTTTAACTTTATATTGTACATCTGTCACTGATAACTCTATTACCCAAGTCCCAATCGCCTTCCGGGTAAGCCAAATTCTGGAAGGCAGTGAGGATGGGACTTACCCTTATTTCAGAGGGCAAAGCTGAGAGCTGTCACAGAGAATGTCTTGGCTGCTTTACTTCTTGGTGGGTGGAAGCTTCAGCAAGCACCCTGTTTACCCAGTTTTGGTGGGTAGAATCAATTTGGAATATGATCTCTTGTAGATTCCCTGGCTATCTGCCCTAAGTCATTCATAAATGCCCTCAGAAACAAACCAAAACTAGAGCAGCTCTTCCAGCAAACTTGTTTGGTTACAAGGCAATAACAGGTCTGTCTCATAAGCAGATGACTCTGCAATTTGTATTACTTGAAGTTTTTGGGTGGTCTACTACAATTTTCTGCCATGAAAATTATAGTAAGCTACATGTGAAGTGACATGAACAAGATCGTCAGTGTCCCCTACTGTACAAAGTGCACATCTGAATTTGGGCATAGGCCCTCCTAGTCATAGCTTCCATCTTCAGGGTCATGTGTTAAGAGGATCTCCAAACTGTGAAGTTGCTCTCCATAGGGATGGACAATACCAATAATTTATATCCTATGTTTTGGTATTGCTACTATTTCATTTGTGTGGTTTCTTTTTTTAAAAGGGGGGGGGCTCCTTTTTCTCCGGCGGTATTTCTTGGTTGGTTTTGTTTCTTTTGTTATTGTCTTTAGTCTTTGTTTCTTTCAGTTTATCTTTTGTATTTTTTACTGTTTTTATAATCTTGCTATAGAATACAATAACAAATATTCATACTGATGGTATCTTACACTGGATGACCTTTCCCATTGGTTTTATATGGTTGTTAAACAAGTTTGGGGGAGAGGACCAAATCCAGAGCACACAATGGAAAACCTGCAGACCATACTTCTCCCTTCTCTCACAACTAATTGGACCCATTCAGGAAACAGCAGACCTGCTACAAAATGTTGTATTTATCCCTAGTCTTCATAGGCTGTCCCGCAAACTATGGATGACACTATAAAAACACCTACAAACTCTAGTATGTATAGAAGGTGGCCATACTTTCTTCACTCCTGTCCTGTCCTGAGTCATTCTTGAAAGCAATCAAAGGACTTTCAGTGAATTCTAATTGCCAAAGATTTAAATGAATCATTTCTTCCACAGTTCTACATAACTGTCATCTTATCATTTTCCCATTGAGGACAAAAGGTATAGCACAGTACTTGTTAATCTTCTTAGCAGTGTTTTCTAAAAAAAAAAAAAAAAAAGGTACCGGAATTCACGTCAAACAACCCGCCTTGCCTAATCTACAAGGTTCCATCCAAAAAAGGTGCTGGAACTCCGTTCTGGGTGTTCTATGAGAAAAAAAGCCCTGCTTCTTAGTATTTATTGCATGGAGAACTTGTTCTTCACTGCGCCCACCTATCTGCTAATAATAAAACCAAAGCAGGTCCCTTGAGAAGGGCTGGCGCTTTTCTATTTGACTGTTGCCTGAATCCATCTCCTTGCTGTCTCTCTATCTGCTTTAGCTAACCATAAGAACAGGGTCAAGCACATAAATGATAAGAGTTAGGATTAAGACAACTGTTTACTAGCTTGGGTTCCACAGCCTCAAAAAGTTCTACAAAACAGCAAAAGATATTATCTCATCAAGCTTTATCCACCTGACTGCTAATCTAGAGCACATATGAGCAATTTTATCCATTAAAATTATTAGCAAAAATTGCATTTTAGATCTTATGCCCTATCTCTCCCAAGAACTTTTTTACATCCCTATAAAATATGTACAGTATTAATAAATGGAAAACTTTAAGGAATGTAAATAATTTTGAATGGAAGACTTTCCGTGGAACGAACTTTTTCTACATTTAATTAAAAACATTGTATTTAGGGACATTTTTAGATACCATTTCTCTTTTAGCTTCCAGTACATCTTGCTCTAATTCAGTGAACAAGCTTCTGTATCATCAATTTGGTTTTTCTTTTTATGGGGATACAGTTTTTTGTTTTCTTTGTCTTTCATGACACTTACCTTTGGATAAAGGATTCCTTTAAATTCTGTAATTTTCTTTTTTAATTTATTAAATTTAGAGATACAATCAAAGGAAAAACAAGGAAAAAATAAAAGGAACAAGAATAGATTTGCAGATTGTAAAATTAATTTAAGAAACTGACATTATATATTAATCTCATATTATACTTTTAAGTCACTATTAAAATCAGGTTATTGTGCCATTTAGTAACTGTAATTGGTATGCCTTAAATTTTAAATTATAAACCAGAATAAAAAATTACAATAATTTTTGCTTAAGAATATTGAATATAGTTAAATATAAAATGCCCAACAATTTAAAACCTTGCAAGATATTATAGACATTTGACATTTGTAAGCAATTATGGAAAACAGAAGTCGCCAAGGGACTGGAAAAGATAAATTCATACTCTAATACTAGAAAAGAGCAGTACTAAAAAAAATTCAACCATGAAACACTAGTATTTATATCATAAATCAAGATTTTACAATCCAGACTACTGCAGAATGTGCAACAAAAACTGTCAGATATACAATTTATGTTTAGAAAACACTTCAGATCACATTGGTAAAATGGAAATGCAAGATAGTGCCAAAACGACTGGTTTATTAATTCTACAATGGCTTTTAGCTGCATGGTCTATTATGAATTATGAACAGTCCTTTAAACATGGGTATATCAGACCACTTCATCTGCCCATTAAGGAATTAATGAGATGACCCAAAGGCAAAAAATTGAAGCAAAATCTAAAGCATACTGTACATGATTTAAAACTGGGAAAGGAATGCACCCAAATAATATGGTATTGCTTTATTTAACTTACATGCAGAATGTATCATGAGAAATTTAATGAGAAATTCTACATAACTGTGGCTGGTTAAGAACGCTTATGAAATAAAGTTCAAGGATAGATATTGTATATACATCTGTAAGGATAGATTAATTAATACCGGTGGGATATTACTAGTAAGGGAATCAGACCATTAAGGCAATCGCTACTTTATTGTAGAAAAAATACCGCAGCATGGCTTTCTCAAAATACATAATTCGGCAGCTCTGCTACCTTTCAAATGGACTTCTGACTGTTTTGAGAACTGTAGTTTGAAGCTACTTTATTTTAGACACGTACAGCTTGCCTAGTTCTTAACCGGCTTTTTTCTGCTTATTTAGACAGCCTGTAAACTTTAAACAAAAAACTAGCATTCTGGAAGAGGCCGAAGGCTGTCACAAAACAAAAAAACATAAACTCTCGCCTTTCCCCCCAATTTGAAGGTCTGGTTCTTGGAAATTCCTCGGCCTGTCTCCTTCGGGAAAATTTGCCATCCTGGAACCGAAAACAATGTGCTTGAAAACTGGCTTCTGCAACCTTAGTTCGACAAAAGCTTCGTCCTCTCCAAATCGTTCTTCCGCGCAAGACAGCCGGGACCGCCTTTCCACGACTGCCTGCCCCGGTTCTGTCAGCCTCAACGGTAGTGGTCATCCCGCACCGCTTCGGCGCCCCGCAATCTCACGGGCGGCTCTCCCACGATTCCCTTCGTTGTCTCGGTCCGAGCATGGCCTGGCGGCGCTTCCCAAAGGGGAGAAGGGAACCACCGCGCAGGAAGGGAGTCTCCCCTCAGGGCTCTTCGTCGTAACCCGCGTTCCCCCCCCCCACCGTCTGAGGATCGGGCGCGTTCTCCCTCCTCCATCCGGCTAACCTCGACCAATCGAAAAGATGCGCACGTGACAAGCGTTCCCAACGATGACTTCATCCCTGGTGTGGGATGACGTCAAATTCAAGATGGATGGAATCACGGCGGTGGCGGCGGCGCGCGCGGGTGAATCGTAAAAGGAGACGGCCGAAGGGGGAAGGAAAAGGGATGCGCGGAAGGTAAGTAGAAGACCCCAGTTGTTGCTCCTTTAAGGTGGGACTCCTCCTGGACAAAGGTTCGGGTTTCCCCGTGCACAAAGGCGTCTTTTCCTGACGTAACTCTGAGGTATATTTTCCCCTACCGAGTAGGGCTGCGGTCTTAAGCTCCTGTGTGCGCCTGCGCCAGTTACAAAACGAGTTCTTGCCCCTTCACAGCGCATGCGTAGATCCGAATAGATGCATTCACCCTGTGGCATACATTCACGTTGCTTTTATTAGCTGCCTAGCGCGCATGTCTGTTGCCCATTTTTAGCTCATGGAGGCTTTCTTTTCTGTGTTGCGCCTGCGCCTTGCCCATATATAATAGCGTTACCCTCCTACGCGGTTAGTTTAGGAATAATATTTGGGGTGGGGTATAATTAAGCGGAATGAGCATGCGCCGAAAATGAATGTACAGTAATGGGCTTTGAATCATATGATGTCATTTTGGGCAAGACATAATTGGGCCAGGCTCGTTCTCTGCGGAAAGGAAGGGTGGGTGTTGATGTCTTTTAAATTTCAGGATTCATTAATGTTTTTTGCTTTTTGTTCCTATCAATGCAACCATAAATAATTATGAAATTTAAAGGCCAAAATATCTGGAAGACATAATTTGAGAAAGTTGTCTTAGCCAGAGATACCAAAATTTGAATTGGGAGGCCTTGGGATGCAGCCTATACAAGTACAGTACTTTCTTTAAACTTGTCTTCCCTAACTAATATTTGACCCCTTTGCAAAACATGACTTAGTATTTGGTGGCAAAATCCCTGCTGGCAATCACAGAGGTCAGATGTTTCTTGTAGTTGGCCACCAGGTTAGCACACATCTCAGGAGGGATTTTGTCCCATTCCTCTTTGCAGATCCTCTCCAAGTCATTAAGGCAGGGGTGTCAAACTCAATTTCATTGAGGGCCACATCAGCATTGCAGTTGCCCTTGAGGGGGCGGGTGGGTGTGGCCAGGGTGGGTGCAGCCTACTGGGTGGGTATGGATGGAGTGGGTATGCCTTACTGGGTGGGCATGGCCAGCTCTATATTGTTTGTGTCGTGGGGGCTTGGGCAGAGTGGGACAGATCTAGGATCTCTGGCAGAAGGGGGTGAGACCGGGGCAAGCGCCAAGGCATGGTGCATTTCTTCATTCCTCACAAAGGGTGACACCTCCCCAGCATGCACCCAGGGGGCAGGCCAATGCAGCAGGGGCTGGTTCCTCGCTGTTTCTGGACGGCCTTGTGGAGCTAAGACTGAATGCATTTCAGCATAGATGGCCACCACAAAATTATACATTGGCTCCCGGCTGTCCTGGACCAGGGCCAAGGCAGCGGTGGCTGTTCCCTCACTGTTTCCAGGATGGCTTCGCGGGCCACATGAAACCACTTCGCGGGCCGCATCCGGCCCCAGGCCTTGTGTTTGACATGTCTGCATTAAGGTTTCAAGGCTGATGTTTGGCAGCTCGAACCTTCAACTCCCTCCATAGATTTTCTCTGGGATTAAGATCTGGAGACTAGCTAGACCACTCCAGGACCTTAATGAGCTTCTTCTTGAGCCACTCCTTTGTTGCCTTGGCTGTGTGTTTGGCTCATTACCATGCTGGAATACCCATCCACAACCCATTTTCAATGCCCTGGCTGAGGGAAGGAGGTTCTCACCCAAGATTTGACGGTACATGGCCCCGTCCATTGCCCCTTTGATGCGGTCAAGTTGCCCTGTCCCCCTAGCAGAAAAACACCCCCAAAGTATAATGTTTCCACTTCCATGTTTGACGGTGGGGATGGTGTTCTTGGGGTCATAGGCAACATTCCTCCTCCAAACATGGCAAGTTGAATTGATGCCAAGGAGCTCGATTTTGGTCTCATCTGAGCACAACACTTCCACCAGGTTCTCCTCTAAATCATTCAGATTTTCACTGGCAAACTTCAAATGGGCCTGTACATGTGCTTTCTTGAGCAGGGGGACCTTGCGGGCTGCAGGTTTCAGTCCTTCAGAGCGTAGTGTGTTACCAATTGTTTTCTTGGTGACTATAGTTCCAGCTGCCTTGAGATCATTGACAAGATCCTCCCATGTAGTTCTGGGCTGATTCCTCACCGTTTGCATGATCTTTGAAACTCGGCGAAGTGAGATCTTGCATGGAGCCACAGACTAAGGGAGATTGACAGTTATTTTGTGTTTCTTCCATTTGCGAATAATCGCACCAACTATTGTCACCTTCTCACCAAGCTGCTTGGCTATAGTCTTGTAGCCCATTCCAGCCTTGTGTAGATCTACAGTCTTGTCCCTGACATCCTTTGACAGCTCTTTGGTCTTGGCCATGATGGAGAGTTTGGCATCTGATTGATTGATTGCTTCTGTGGAGAGGTGTCTTTTATACAGGTAACAAGCTGAGATTAGGAACACTCCCTTTAAGAGAGTGCTCTTAATCTCAGCTCATTACCTGTATAAAAGACACCTTGGAGCCAGAAATCTTGCTGATTGATAGGGGATCAAATACTTATTTCATTCATTCAAATGCAAATAAATTTATAATTTTTTTGAAATGCGTTTTTCTGGATTTTTTTTCTTGTTATTCTGTCTCTCACTGTTAAAATAAAGCTACCATTAAAATTACAGACTACTCAGTGGGCAAATGTACAAAATCATCAGGGGATCAAATAATTTTTTTCCTCAATGTACATTTTTCTTCTGGTCTCCAGCAGCAACCCATTACACAGGGAAAGCAAATTGAGGAAAATAAGATCCATTACAAACTTGTGCTAAATGAGCTCTTGACTGCCTCCTAACCTGCCTTGCATTTAAGAATATGATCCTACCCTACAACTGCAGTTAGCAATTCTACTTTTAATGCCTCAGTGGCGCTAAGATGATATTAAAAATAGTTTGAAAACAACATAAAGATACCATTAGTTACATACATTAGGAAGCAAAAAAAAAAAAAGTCCAGATATTTTGGATAATAAACCTCAGATGTTTAATCCAATGAAAAAAAAATTGAGAGCTCTTATATTTTATTTTTAGAAGACCTGCACAACTACCTATTATATTTAGCTAGTCCCAAAGGAAAGTTGAGGAGGAATTAGCAAATAAGTGAGTTCCAAGTTTGAGAAGGAAGCTATGTTGGACAGAGCCATGTGCCTCACGGTAGTAATGAACTTGGTCAGTATTGTTTCTTTTAGAAGTACAGAGGCAAGATTTGAGTGGGAATTCACATACCTGGCTGGCTCAAACATTAGGGGCCATAGTTGGAAGTGAATCCAACCAGGGTAGTTCTGTTCTGGGATTCATAAACAAGTTCATCGAATCGTCAGATATTTATGTATAGGTTTCTATGCTAAACTTGTGAATCAAAAAAATTATCTGTAACAGGTGGGTGAATTATTTGTAATGGGCTTGTACTGAACACTCAGAATATCTAACACATGACTAGGGTTTGTTTTACCATTATATCCAGATGGCTGTTACCGTGAATCAAAAAGCTGACTATAATTTCATAATAAAATCTGTACAGTATTCTGCTTTTTTATTACCTATTGTGTTCAGTTTATGTGTTTATATTGATCATGTGCCGTCAAGTCAGTTTCATCTGACATAAATTTAATTGTCAATCATTTTATATTTTACATTCTATAGATTTTTGGGTAAAATACTACAGTAGATCAAATTGCCTTTTCCTGCTCAGTGTTAATTGATGCCCTTGTCATTATCACTACAACAACCATTTGCCTCCAGCATTTTCTTATATCACTGATGCCTAATATAGATGCCTTCTTGCTTTAGCTGGACATGTGAAATAACTTTCATTAAAGGAATATACACGTGTAAATACATACACTTACACATTCACTTGGCATGCACTCCTGGCTTTCTTTGCTCATGTTCTTCCCTCCCAGGAACACACAGATACCCTGCCATGATCAGGTACCATAGCAGGAGTTGAGGGCAGGGGATTGTTAATGTAATTAATCATAGGAAAATACAATCAAAACATGAAATAAAATCAGTTAAGATGTTAGATATATTAAGCAATAACAATCAGGTATCAGTTCACATTTGTTTGGGCCAAACAGTTGTTACTTAAGTCCAAAAGCTTGTCTGACCAAGAACATATTTTTTTGCAAGAAGAACATCAAATATTGAATTAGTTTGGCTTCTTTAACCAAGAATTCCAAAATCTACAAGCAGCCCCTGGAAAGATCCCTTTCAGGGCCTCAGAAATGTAATGTACAAAGGAGAGGTTTTTTGAAGATTCTTGAAATACAATCAGACTCACATCTGAGAATGAATCTAGTCCCATTGCTTAGAAGTTATAACCAATTACTTTGAATTGTTTCCAAAACAGATTGTTTCCTACTTAAATTGCATTCTGAAAATGTAGGTCTTCAAGAAAACCATTTTAGTGTGGTTATTCTTACATGTTCAAGGAGCAGAAATTACTCCTTATAACATTCTGGATGTTAATTTTGTTTTACAATAAACATAATTTCTTTTTTCCCCATAACAGACTAGATGACATAAAGACTTCAGAATCATTGCCAATTAAGGAGTAAATGCAGTCGTGAATCTAAGGTTTTTCTTGTTTTGAAGTGTTTTCAAGAAGAAAAAAGCTTTTCTGGTACGTTCTATTTATTTTTAGTTGTATGGATTTAGGATTAAATTTCTTGATTTTTTTGGTATTTCAGTTGTTAAAGAATAAGATCTCTTGCAGATGTAAGAATGAACCATCTTTGAGCATTACTGGAAAAAAGAGCAAAGAGCCTAGTTCCACTTTTCTCTTCTACACAATTGTGAAGGGGAGACTATTTTAAACTATTTAGATTCCCATTACATCTGAAAATGGGAAAGAGGATTCTAAAAAATTTGGAGCAGAAAATAGAGACTTGGGGCTTTCTCATGGCTACAACAGAGAGGAAATAGGAAGGATGCTTGCTGTTTATATCCATATAATGCTAAACTTGTTCTAGTATTATATCAGGTCAAATGTATTTGCATAAATTGTTCTGTACTCCTTACATATTGCAAATAAATATGCTCTGTATACCCAATAAAAAAGATCTCATGAATCAACTAAGCAATTACAATGAAAGGCAGAAAATAAGATATTAAATATAAATAAGTATGTTGGATCCCATGTAAGCATTTCAGCCAGTGACTAGCAGAAGAATGTTTTTTGAAAGGCTGAACCAGATCATTATCCAGATAGAGTGACAGTATTTTTACTTTTGATACAAAATGAAGTTTCTGTATTTTACAGCAAAGAAGGCACAAAAAACAGAATTAAGTCTCTGATAACGTTATAATCACCTAAATGTGAAATTGGTGTTATCAGTATACAGTTAATTTCTCTAGGGTTGAAGCAACCTTGGTGATCTTTCCAGGGGCTTAGATCACAATATCTACAAAAAGCAGAACTACTACTAGAACACAAAGAAACTTATATCCCAGTTAACATTAATGCAACACAAAAACTAGACAATCGGATCAAGAGTACTATCAATGACCTCACTAAGAAAAGCCAAATTACCAAAGATAAACAGTGGCAGATGAGAAGCAGTAGACCCATCCTCCCACGCTTCTACAGATGCCCCCAAATACACAAGCCTGACATACCTCTCCATTCAATTGTATCATTACTGGAAACCTCTACCTACAATATCACAAAAGAATTAACAAAAAAAGTTGGGGCACCTCAGAAGAGGGAGCAAACATTCCATCAATTCTCTACTACACTGTCTTCAGAGACATGACTATAGATAAGGTCAAAATCATGGTCTCGTTTGATATCACAGCCCTGTTCACGTCCATAGATTTAGAATTAGCCAAAGAATCTATGTCTACATTGTTCCACAGCACAGTTGATTTAACACCGAAGATTATGGATCTGATAAATCTCTGCCTAACAAACTTACCAACAAATTAAAGGGACACCTATGGGATCACCGCTTTTAGGAAGAATGGGATGAGAAACAGAAACAGAACAGAATAGAATAGAATATTTGGAAGGGACCTTGGAAGTCTTCTAATCCAACCCCCTGCTCAGGCAAGAAATCCTATGCCATTTCAGACAAATGGTTGTCCAATCTCTTTTTAAAAACTTCCAGTGTTGGAACATTCACAGCTTCTGAAGGCAAGTTGTTTCACTTATTAACTGTTCTGTCAGGAAATTTCTTCTTAGTTCTACTTATAGCAGAGGTCATTATGTAACATCTAGAAGGCTATAGCACTTCCACAAATACAACTGAAAATATGGATCACATATGTAGATGACACTTTTATCATAATAAAAAAGACTAATTATAGAGAATATCCACAGAACTATTAGCAATATGTTCAAAGGAATCAAGTTTACCACAGAAGAAGAAAACAATAAATTGCTACCCTTGCTGGACATCCTGATCAGCAGTGATCACAATGGCAAACTGAAAACACAAGTGTACAGAAAAACTACCCACACCAACCAAGTGCTCCACTACCAAAGTAACAACCCAACATCCCACAAGAGAAGCTGTGTAAGAACTTTATTTAGATGAGCACAAACTCACTGCAGCAACCTGAAGAGCAGAAACCTCCAATAGACTACAGCAACCACATGGAATCAGCATAGCAGCTAAGCCAACTAAAGCCCTTCAAAATATCCTAAGTAAACCAAAAGACCCAGTAGCTTCAGAAGAAAAAACAGGAATTATCTACATCATACAGTATAATGATTGCAACAGCCGCTACATAGAACAAACAGAAGACTGGCAGAATGCATGTTTGAACACCAGCTACTGTGTTTCCCCAAAAGTAAGACCTACCCCAAAAGTAAGCCCTAGCTTTATTTTTGGGGTTGGGCCTAATATAAGCTCTAGTTTTGGGGTGAGGTGCACACCTAAAAATCAAGCTAGGGTGGGGGTGGGGGTACAGCTGTCCCCCCATGCCCACACTGCTTACTTTACTGGTAGGACCCTCCCACACCCTGACATTTGTCACGCTGCGTGGCTCGTGACACCAGGAGGCTGCACAGAGGTTCGGGCTGTTCTGCTGCTCATGGCAGGAGGCCACATGGTGCTTCATGCCATTGCCATCGCTCACAGTAGGATGCCATGGGGTGCTTCAGGCCCTTGCCACCAGCCAGAAGCACCACGCGGCCTCCTTCTGCTAGCAGCGGCAATGACCTGAAGCACTGTGTGGGATCCTGCCATGAGTGGCAGCAACAGCCCAAAGAGCCGTGCGGTGTGCTGCCACGAGCGACGACAAGAACCCAAAGAGCCATACGGCGTCCTGCAGCTAACAGGAGAAACAGCCCGAAACGCTGTGAGGCTTCCTGCTATGAGCAGCGGCATCAGCGTGAAGCAACACTCGGCCTCCTACCGCGAGCAGCAACAATGGCCCGAAGCAGTGTGCAGCCTCCTGCTGCGAATGGCGGCTTCGGTATGATGAGACATGCGGCGCAACAGGTATCGGGGTGTGGGAGGCCTGGGTGCAGCGGTCCTAAGGTAAGACATCCCCCGAAAATAAGATCTAGTGCCTCTTTTGGAGGTAAATATATATATGTGTGTATATATCCATATACACATATCCATATACATTATTTTCCCAAAAATAAGACCCGGTCATATATATATATATATATATATATATATATATATATATATATATATATATAGGTAACAGTTAGAAGACATGATGAAAACTCGTTAACTTCATAACCTATGGAGAGACATAACCATAGTCTCAGTTGGGAAACTATGACCATCCTAGACTAAGTCAAATCCAAAAATGTATATACTGGAATGTCATATCAAATCCAATGTTTGTTTGTTTTTAATTGTATTATAAATAAAATTTGTAAAAAAAAATATATAAAAATCCAAAAATGATAAGGAATTTCTAGAAGCCTGGCACTCTGACAAGAGACACGTAGACATAAAGAATATATACTATGCAAAAGAGACACTCAACAAGCCAAAAAGGGAACAAAAATATCAAAACACCTCCCCACTAGCAATTAGCACCCAGATGAGCATAGATTAACTGCAAGATTAACATCAGACCAACAATCAAATTAACAATACTCCAATCAAGGAACTGCCAAACAAGCCAACAGTAAACAGTCCAACCAAAGAACCTCTAAGACCACCCACACCCACACTGACAGGCAAGCCACCAGAATATAAACTGAGACCAAACCCCACTTAAGGTGACCAACTTTTTTACAACGAAAAGGAGGACACGAATAAATTGGAGGAAAAAATATCGTAAATAAAAGAAACATTGTATTTATTGCAACAATACAGAATACACTATAATATGATAAATGCATAATAAAAAACATTTGTAACAATAACATTTTATATTGTAATTATGTTTACATGCCTATTAATTATTTAAATGAGTACTTTTCCATTGAATTAATATTTTTGTCAATGTATCATCTTCTAACAATATATTGGAAATATCTGAACAAGAAATATCCTTCATATTGAATTTTACGGCAAGTGCTGCAGCTAGAGTATCAACATTCAATCTCGATTTCTCACTTGTCCAAAAATCTACATGGCTGGACTGTGCGGGGGTGGGCGGCGGAGGCAGGTGTTGTGAGCCAGGCGCTCCAGGAGGGCCACGTTGGTGCTCAGGGCGAGGTAATGGCAGCGCAGGTCAGCACTGCGTAGACCACCAGCTGGCGCTGCCCATGGAAAATCAACTGCCCGCCGCGCCCCCGCCCACAGCCGCCCTACCAGCACCGCTGTCCTGCCGTGGAGAACTGGCCCTGCGGCTTGCAAAGCACCAGCCGAGCCGGCTCCGGCCCTATGGCCGCCCCCCAGCACCACCGCCCACCCTGCGCATCCCCGTAGAGCCGGGCTCACAAAGGCAAAGCACCAGCCAAGCCGGCTCCGGCCCTGCAGCTACCCCCCAGTCGCCCCCCAGCACCACCACCCCCCTGCGCATCCCCATAGAGCCGGTCCCGCAGCTCGCAAAGGTAAAGCACCAGCTGCCCCAGCTCTGGCCCTGCAGCTGCCCCCCCCCAGCCACCCACCAGCACCACTGCCCACCCTGCGCATTCCCATAGAGCCTGCCCCGTGGCTCACAAAGCACCAGCCGCACCGGCTCCGGCCCTGCAGCCACCCCCCCAGCCGCCCCCCAGCACCCCCGCCTACCCTGTGCATCCCCGTGTAGAACTGAACAGGGAAGATCAAGAGAAGCTTACCGCTCCAGTCTCCTCCAGCTATCTTCGGAACTAAGTAGGAGATGGTGTAGTTGGGTAGCAGTGAGGGGTGCAAAGTTCCTGCAACTTGCACGTGCAAAGTTTGCCGCCCAGATGTTTTGGCGCGCCCAGCAGCAATTCCTATTGGCTTTTGGAAGCCAATAGGGGGAGTAGCACAGCTCATGCAAAAGTTGAAAAAAACCATCAAAAAAAGGTCCCAGAACGCCTTCTGAGCTTTCTATGAGGAAAAAAAAGCCCTGCAGATTAGTCTTCAAATACAGAAAAAGAGGACATTTAGGAGGACACTTTTCGAGGAAGGACAGAACTCACAAAAGGGGGACTGTCCTCCCAAAAGGAGGATGGTATATGGAAAAGGGGGACACTTAGGAGGACACTTTTCGAAGGAGGACAGAACTCACAAAAGGAGGACTGTCCTCCCAAAAGGAGGACGGTTGGTCACCTTAACCCCACTCCTTACTAGCACTGAGGATGTTACCTTGTTTGGGTAATGAAATGTCTGTAAGAAAACAACCACATTACAGAGCACTAAGGACCCTTCAGAACTTGACTTAGGTCTAACACTCTGTTACAGAGGAATATCCCTGCTGAATCTAGTGTGGCATTTCCAACAAAATATGTTTTAAATTTAAGATTGACCCAAAATTATTTTAAATCTTTTTGCCCTCTAAGTATTCTAGCAAAATACTATTTTAGGTTTTTGAGAAAATTATTGAAGTTTCTATTTTTTTCTTTCTAGGTCAAGAATAAAATATTAGATTAATTTTCAGTAAATTATATAGAAGATTATGTATTGGCTCTGACCTGCAATATCTATATTCTCTTACCTTTTAAAGCAGTCATCCTCAATCTATCTGGCCCATGGATGTATAGATTTCATGATGCCAGAATTCTTACAGTTGATCTTGCTGGAGGTTTCTAGAAGATGGCACCCAGGTATCAGGGATGCCAAGTTGGGGAAGGTTAATAGAAAGTTTTGCATGTAACAGGCATGCTGAATATTTGCATCAAAGCGACTCAGTGAAAAAGAAATTAGCAATAATTGCTTCAGAGTACATGGATTACATGAGGATTGCATGAGATCCTGAAAGAGCTTCTGTGTATCCTGCTGTGTGTCTTTTGACTGCAACAACCACTATGTAGGACAAACAGGCAGAAAACTGGCAGAATGCATCCATGAGCACCAACTGGCAGTCAAAGGGCATGAAATTAAAATTCTTTAATTTCACAACATATAGACAGATTTAACCATAGTTTCAATTGGGAAAATGTGACGATCCTAGACCAGGCCAAATGCAAAAATGCCAGGGGATTTCTAGAAGCCTGGCACTCTGAAAAATCAGCCATCAATAGACACATAGACATTAACAACATCTATAGACTGCAGAAGAGACAATCAACCAGCCCCAAAGAGAAAAATATTCCAATAACTCTCCACCAGTAATCAGCACTCAGATCAGCACAGATTAACTCTAAGGTCAACTTCAGACCAACGATCAAGTAAGCAATACCCCAATCAAAAAACGCCCAAAGAGCCATTAGTAAACAGCCCAACCAAAGAATCCCTAAGACCACCCCCATCAACACAAGTAGGCAAGACATAAGAATATAAACTGACAGCAAATAGCAGCCCTTGCAAGCACTGATGATGTTACCTAGTTAGGGTAATGAAACATTTGCAAAGAAAACAAGCAACCTCAGAGAGCACCAGGGACCTCTCAGAGACAACCCTGGACAGCCCTGCATATGTGCTTCATTACTGCAGATCATATATCTGTTTCCGTCCCAGGATAGGGCTCCAAACCATTACCTGTTTTATTTTTGGCTTTTATGACTAAAAAGGTTGTTTACATGTATCTTAGTGTATCTATTAAAGAGCAAGAATCTCAGTTCTCCTAACATATTTGGTTAGATCTGGATTAAGTTAGTTCTTAGTTCGCAATGATACTTGTAACAAAATTATATATAACTAATTTTTAATATAGATTTCACTTGGAAGTTTGCACAATTATCTTAGTTCAGATTCAACCCACATGAGTGTACAGTACCCCTTGTGTCACTTTATTAAACTGGGATTATCTCCTTTGTATTTAGAATTAAATATGAATTCGAATGAAGCCTTTAAAATTTAACCAGTTTTACTTTCAATTCAGTCTTTATTTTTGTCAGGTTTTACACAGGTGTAGTGGAAAGCTGAAACATTTTTGTTTTGTTTGGTAAATATTTAAATTATCTTATATGTGCAGGTAAAATCAAAGTGGAGTTTTTCTCCTTGATTGTCATTGGCTGGTTGTATATTGTAGTACATTTTACATATATATCTATATACACTATATTGATTTAATTGATACAGAATGTTACACACGTTCAAAATCTAAACAAAACATATTAAGGCCATATTATGCTTTGGAGATATTATTTTTTAAATGCTCTTTTACTTATTTTTATTCCATCTAAATTATTTTGTGAATGTGAGTTTGTCTTTTTTGTCTTTCAGATAAACCTAATCATGGATGGACTCTTGCATTATATAAATCCTGCACATGCTATTTCTCTTTTAAGTGCTTTAAATGAGCAACGTCTGAAAGGACAACTTTGTGATGTTGTTCTCATAGTAGGAGATCAAAAATTTCGAGCTCATAAAAATATTCTAGCTGCCAGCAGTGAATACTTCCAATCTCTATTCACTAAGAAAGAAAATGAGTCTCAGTCGGTATTTCAACTTGATTTCTGTGAACCAGATACCTTCGACAATGTATTAAACTACATTTATTCATCATCTTTGTTTGTTGAGAAAAGCAGTCTGGCTGGTGTGCAAGAAGTAGGCTACAGTCTTGGAATTTCCTTTCTTACTAACATTGTATCTAGAAGTCCTCAAGTTCCTTTGCCCACATGTCCGATCAAGAAAATATTATTCCAAGAAGATGATGAAAGTGGCTCCCAGAAAAGAAGTGTCATTGTTTGTCAGAGCAAAAATGAAACACAAGGGGAAAATGTTGGTCAAACCTTCCCCGATATAAGCCATAGTTCTAATTTTTTGTCATCAGTTGCTATCAATACTAAGTGGTCACAGCAGTCAACAGAATTTCAACATAGCCGATCATTAAATGAAAAGAGATGGTTGAAAGATAGTTCTTTAAGATACTCAAAGTCCCATGAATCTTCAGTTACAGTGGATGATCAAAATAGAATGAAAAGAAATGCAATATCATCACAGAAGTCTTTTGTAGAGAAAGAATTGGCAGCGGATGAACTAGGAGAAAGTGATCAACTATTAAGAGGAAAGGCAGAGGAAATATCCTTGAAACAGGTTTGTCCACCCATTGAATCTGTATGCAGTTCATCAGAATCCACATTTTTGCTGAATGAAAGAGACAAGGGAACTAGTCCAGGTGAAGACAGGAATTTACTATACTATTCAAAATTAGGATTAGTAATCCCGTCTAGGATAGCTGATCCTGAAGGTCAAAGTACCGACAGGAGTGGACCACTTGTAAAAAGTCTTCTTCGAAGGTCACTGTCAATGGATAGTCAAGTTCCAATATCTTCACCTTCTATTGATTTAAAGCTTTCTCAAGGGTCTTTAGTAGGGAACAATGCACAAAGAATAATGTTGAATGTAATATCACAAAAGCCACCCATGAAAGATTCTTCAGAAATAGCTTCTGATGATAAGACACAGATAATGCATCCACATCGTCTTAGATCTTTCAGTGCTTCTCAATCAACAGACAGGGACATGAATTCTCAAGAATTACAGATTAAAACTGAACCTAGCAGTCCACTTTCAGATCCTTCTGAAATTATAAGAATCACAGTGGGAGATACTTTATCATCTGTCAACAAAAGTGACTCCTTTAAGACTGAAGATGACCACAGGGAACTCATTAACTCTTTTAAAGCAAAGGATGACCACAGTGAGATCAATAGACTTCCAGCTAAAAGAAGATTTCAAGCAGACAGAAGGCTACCACTCAAAAAAATGAAGGTAGACCAACATGTTTCCCCTGAGCCAGAGGACAATTTTGAAGAGAATTTGAATGCTATACCCTTCGTTGATTTCCCAGATTCTGATGTTAGCAGAGATGAAAGTGGTGAACTGGAAGAAACAAAGCCTAACAAAAAATTTAAGTGCAAACACTGTCTTAAGATTTTCAGGTCAACAGCAGGCCTACATCGTCATGTCAATATGTACCATAATCCAGAGAAACCATATGCTTGTGATATTTGCCATAAGAGATTTCACACAAACTTCAAAGTTTGGACCCACTGCCAGACACAACATGGAATTGTAAAGAACCCCTCACCTGCTTCTAGTTCACATGCTGTCTTAGATGAAAAATTCCAGAGGAAATTAATTGATATTGTAAGAGAACGGGAAATTAAAAAGGCTTTGATTGTTAAATTAAGACGTGGAAAACCAGGGTTTCAGGGACAAGTTAGTTCACAAGCTCAACACGTAATCAAAAGGAATCTGAGGTCAAGAAATAGAGGAGCTTACATTTGTACCTACTGTGGGAAAGCATATCGCTTCCTGTCACAGTTTAAACAGCATATAAAAATGCATCCAGGAGAAAAACTGGTTGGAGGAAATAAGACTCTTATTAAACCAAAAGAAGATAATCGCAGTGAAAACCCAATGGAAAACAAAAAAGTTTATCAGTGTCGTATTTGTAATGCTAAACTTTCTTCTCTTACTGAACAAGGAAATCATGAGCGGCTATGCCGGAAAGCAACAGTTTGTGCTTACTGCAGTCTTCTGTTTTCTTCTCCCGAACTGAAGTTTGAACATGAAGTCACATGTGAGTACAAGAAGCTCACTTGCTTGGAGTGTATGCGAACTTTTAAATCCTCCTTCAGTATTTGGCGTCATCAAGTTGAGGTGCACAATCAGAATACTATGGCTCCAACAGAGAATTTTTCTTTACCAGTTCTGGAACACAATGGTGAAGTAAGTAATGCTTCGAGACCACATTATCAAACAGAGCCTAACAAAATCAGCAGCTTTGTTGCCACTAAAGAAGACGGTGTATTTAGTGATTCCTCAGAGCAAATCAATTTTGATTCAGAAGATTCCTCATGCCTCCCTGAAGATCTTAGTGTTTCCAAGCAGCTGAAAGTTCAGATCAAAGAAGAACCTGTGGATGATGTAGAAGAGGAGATCTCTGAAAGCAGCCGGGAACCAAAGGAAAGCATTGCTAATAAGGAGACTGGTTTGTGGCCCTGTGAAAAGTGTGGAAAAATTTTCACCGTACACAAGCAGCTAGAGCGTCATCAGGAGCTTTTATGCTCAGTGAAACCCTTTATTTGCCATGTGTGTAATAAGGCTTTCCGAACCAATTTTCGCTTGTGGAGTCATTTCCAGTCCCATATGGCACAAGCTTCGGAAGAGCCTTTGCGAAAAGAATCTGAGGTGTGCTCTTCTGCTAATTCTCCTTCCCCACCACCTCTGCCTCCACCCCCTCCGCTTCCCAAAATACAGCCTTTGGAACCCGATAGTCCTACAAGCCTGTCAGAAGCCCCTTCAGGTAGTGAGAAATTATTTGTTCCACAGAAGTCTGACACACTTTTTTATCATGCTCCACCACTGTCAGCTATCACATTCAAAAGACAGTATATGTGCAAACTTTGCCATAGGACATTCAAAACTGCATTTAGTCTTTGGAGCCATGAACAGACACACAATTAAAGAAAACTTTTAAAAGAGTGCCTATAGAAAGTTTCAAATATCTGTTTAATTTCTGTGATGTTTCTGAAATTGTATCACTGAAAGTAGATTTATGTGTGTAGATTTATATATATATATACACACACACATGCAAAGGGTAAAAAAACCTCTCAAAATTAAACTTGAAATTTGTGATGCTGTGTTTTGGATATAGAAATGAAGGTAAACTAAATTTATCCTTACTAGAGAAAATTGTGCAAACTTTTTAATATTGTGATTTCAGTTTTCCTAGTTCTAGAATAATTGCATTCATTAAACCTGAGTATATATTTCTCATGATGTTATACTGGTAAACATGGATACATATAAAAAGAATCAGTGACAAGTATTTAGAGTACAGGAAAATTTCATACTACTTGTTTTTACAGAGAATAACTCATGAGCTCCATATATTAGTCATTCGTTTGATGTTAAGGGAAGAAGCGGATTGAGTGCTTTGCTGTGTTGGCCATGATTCTGTTGAACATTAGCAATAATGAATAAAACCTCAATTGAATTAACTTGACCCTTATTGAAAAGGTTGCTTATCTTGGAATAATTTCATTATTGGAATTTTCTCTATTGATATTGCATAAGATGCAATCAAAGATTAGCAATATATGAGCATTTGGATTGATATATATATATATATATATATATATATATATATATATATATATATGTATATATATATGTGTATATATATATATATATATATATATATATATACAAGTAGTCCTCGATGTATGACCACAATTGAGCCCAGTGAAACAGTTGTTAAGTGAATTTTGTCCCATATTATGACTTTTATTGCCACAGTTAAGTGAATCACTGCAGCTGTTAAGTTAGTAATATGGTTGTTAAGTGAATCTGGCTTCCCCATTGACTTCGTTTGTCAGAAGGTTGCAAAAGGTGATCACGTGACCTCAGAACACTGCAACCATCATAAATATTAGTCACTTGCCAACTATCAGAAGTGTGAAAAACAGTCATAAGTCACTTTTTTAGGTACCGTTGTAATTCTGAATGGTAATTAAATGAACTACCTGTACAGTAGGTGCGAACCTTTCTTTGGCTGCCTTAAAAAAGATTGTTAGTGTTGGAATAAGATACAGTGCTTATCTGATCCTCAGAGGCTCATAGCCTTATATTTTAATACATAGAATTAATGTAAGAAGAAGCAGTGAATTGATATTCCAATGCAAACTATTTCATTTTTATATGAAATAGCATTTAATGGATATCAGAATTTAAGTTCTTTGCTTCTGATCCATACTGGTGCTTATAGTGAAAAGTATGCATATGAACATTTTAAAAATGAGAAAATTCATTTCCATTAGTGAGTAAGAGTGAGCCTGGCCAAAGCTGCAAAAAAGTGTTTGGAAAAAGTTCAAATGTAAATACTTATGTATGTATAAATGGAAAATGAATAGAAAACTTATATTAATTATGTTTAGGTGAAAGTGCAGGAGGAAATGCAACACCAAAAAGCAATGTATTTCATAAATGAAAATGAACTTTTCTATTCAGTATTCTACTTTCAGCACCTTTTTGTTTTGTTCATTTAAGGTTAAAGTAATTAAAATATTGGGCCATAATCTAATGCAAATTTAAGCCCACTGATTGGCCAAAATGCCTGTTTATATTCAGTGATATTTAAAATAGAGTTTCTAAATATGGTGTTCTTTAACTTTCATAATTCCCCGCCAAATACAACCAGTGCATCTAGAGGCAAATTAAATCATAGTTTGGGTTAGGAATTTTTCAAGCAGTTCATTTTAATACATGTTTTATTTATTTATTACATAGATATCTGCACTCACATGTACAGTTGCAGCATCTATAAACAATTTTCCCAAACATCCATGTGTATTCATCAATTGTAATGCAACATCCTACATACCGGTACATAAGGATTCTTGTTCATTGATTTCTTCTTTTGATATAATACGACCATTGTAGTAGACAAACTTCATATATCAGTAGTCCTACAATTGTACAGTGGGATGATGAGTTGTAGCATCCATATATGACCAAGTAGAATAATTAATACAGATGTCTGCCAAGTAATTGGAATTATTTCCTACTCAAAAATTCACATTTAACCCTGATTTATTTTAAGCTTGATCTAGTGACCATATATTGGAATGAATGATAAGAATGTAAAGTGATGTACAGTAGATAGCAATAGCACTTAGACATATATACCGCTTCATTATGCTTTGCAGCCTTCTCTAAGCGGTTTACAAAGCCAGCATATTGCTCCCAACAATCTGGGTCCTCATTTTACTGGCCTTGGAAGGATGGAAGTCTGAGGCAACCTTGAGACGCTCAGAATCGAACTCCTGGAGTGAGCAGTGAGTTAGTCTGCAGTTCTGCATTCTAAGCTCTGATGCATCAACTGACATTTTAAGATTGTGATGTAAGAATTTTGGGGGGGAGCTAGGGTAATCACAAGATTCAATTATGCTATTTAAAAACATAAAGGGAAACCAGTTGAGTTTCTAGAAGAAGAAAAAATAGGACACTAATACTAGAATCTAATAAATATGAAATATGAGCAGTAAAGAAAATGTCATTGTCAGTCAAGTTATTACAGCAACTTAAAATTCCAATATTTTTAAAGTTAAAAATAAGATCTATAAACTACATGTGAGTGCCATATAATGTTTATTAGAGTTTTAAATTTTTGTTTTCCAAAGAGTAGCTGTATAGTCTGCTAATCAAGAATTGCTGTAGAAAATATGGGTTGTCAAGTCACTTTTTGATCAAGTGTGGTAAGTTCTTGAAAGTCCATGATCCAAATATTAGTAAACAAGGTAAGAAGGGCAGAAATAGGATTCACATGAACCAGCACAGTACTATGCTTAATGAAAAAGGTGACGCCTATTGAGATATCAAGGGCTTGGCAAGAAACTACTATTTATTGACAAGATCAGCAGAACTTATTTTAGCAAGGCCAAGGTTTACTGGGGAGTGAATGTGGCCAAGATACTAGCAGCTGTATAGCAAACATTGAGGCCTTTGCATCCAACTTCTGGTCAAATCATATTTTATTGTGGAAATAGGATATTTCTGGGCATCAATAGTTGCTTGAAGCATTACATTATCGCTGTCAAATGTTTTTCTGTGCCTGGGCTTTATTGAGAATCTATGCTGATGATTGAGAAGTCTAGCTAAATTTGCATGATATGTTATCCATGGTTAAATGAACCACAGTTTACTCAACTGAGTTCCCAAGATCTTATGACTACATTTTCTCACCATACTAGGCTACAATGTGATTTGTTAGTGAGTGGCTCAGAGAAAGGCATTTGCAAAACACATGCTACTGCAAGAAAACTATATGATTATATCCATCTGGCCACCAAATTCTCCCCAAGATAATTACTCTTTAGGGAATAGTTTATTTTGAGAAGAAATCTTTTGTAAATCCTAACTCTAGTGTGATGGACACGCATTTTTTTCTCAACCAAAGGCCATTCTTGACCTTTCAGTGGCGTGATAGAGGCTATATTCCATGAAGCAGTTATGAGGTCTGGAGAAAAAAAATGAGATTTATATTTAATTAAATTAAATATGTTGAAATTATTATTATCCAGGCATTTATTTTTACTATTTTTATACAAATCAATTTCTTTTTGCCTTGCTGTCAGATAAAGAATTATAATTTAGCAAAAGTATTTGAATATAGTAATTTTGGAGGGGTCTACATACAAGGCTTTCAGACACTTTGTAATTGGGCCCTCAAGTTGTGAACCTATAAAGATTAATAAGGCTCTTCTTCTTTCAGAAAGATTTATTCGGAAGCAATCTTTACATTATTAAAGAGATTTAGAAGTAATTGTAGTCAGAATTACAGTTTTGAGCATGCTTTTGTGTAGTCTTTTTTTTTTTAAAAAAGGGGGAACATTTGGCTTCAATTTCCTCAAGTTATAAGGAAAAAGCAATACTTAGTAGCAACATTTGCAAATAAATTATTTTCTTATTCCCAAACGAAACTATGTACTTTATTCTTATTTTGAAAATATAAATGAATGTATAAAAAGCTAATATCTTTAGAACAAGGTTCATGCACAGTCTTTGAACAATGACATTTATTTTTAGCTTCAGAATAAATGAATTCTTGATAATTTAAAAAAAGTGAATTTACATTCCTCTGCTTGTTTAAACTGAATGGAGCCATTTTTATGGCAAAACATTGCATACCTGGTGGCGCAATGGTTTGGATGCAGTACTGCAGGCTAATTCTGCTGACTGCCGATTGCCAGCAGTTCGGCAGTTCAAATCTCACCAGCTCAAGGTTGACTCCATTCTTCCAAGATCGGTAAAATGAGGACCCAGATTGTTGGCGGCAATATGCTGACTCTGTAAACCACTTAGGGCTGTAAAGCTCAATGAAGCGATATGTAAGTCAAAGTGCTATTGCTATACCTAAAAGACTCTCACAGAATATTTCCCCAGTTCAGCATTTCTACTCTCATCCCATTATAGTGCCTGCATAGAAAATTTAACATGAACCAGAGAGCCAGTCAGCCGCTTTTCCCATCTATTGCATTACAACAAATATATGCTGCTTTTGCCTCATTCTCTTTGGAGTTGGATATTAATAGATTTTTTTCAGAGTTCGTTACCATATGCTTGAAAGTAGCTGTTGCTACTCCTATATAGGCGGAATGTGTGAACCAGCTCTGATGATGTCTCACTTTCTATGCACAAGCTTTGCTCATCATTCCCAGTACCACAGCATTTACCTTGAATTCTTTCAAAATATGCACAACACTTCTGAACCATATTTAGACCAGGAACACAACTCAGGTTGACTTTTATAGATTAGAATTTCCATTTCTTTTAATCACTTAACTATATTTTATCTTAGTAGGACTTTGGTTAGAAAACCTCCAACTATTGAATGTCTAGCTATCAACTCTGCCAGAATATCCCCCCCCCCCATTACATCTGCAGATTTAGTAGAAACTCTTTGTTTTTATAAAGTGGAATGGATAACAGTAGCCCAAGAGGTTCAGAAACATGTCCTCAATTATTTAATTGTGGATACCGTATATTCTGAGTAGCATTTGATTTAGTGGAAGGTAGATTTTTATCATCTTCCAATAATTGTATATTAAAAATCATATCCCATTTTTCTAAAGGTGTATCTGCTTCTCCCAGCTTTCCCAATTATGGCAGCAATGCTCACCTTTTGTAGGAGAAAGCACTTCTGCCTTTGGCACTGTAAAATAGCTGAATATATCCAGCAATCCTCATAAAACCAAACAGCCATCAAGTTTGGCAAAACCTAATAAATCCTACCTGCCAATATAGTCAAAACTGAGCCAGTATTTTTGATTGTGAACTACATCACACCCTTTGAATTATTAGGATTTCATTATAAGATCTTGTTGCGCTTTCCTTGAATGATGTACCTCTTGGATTGTATGTAGACTGAAATAGTTGCAGGAGATGTTAGTGGTTGTCCTGCAGTCATATGTAATTAAATTGAACTTTGAAATTACAAGACATACT